TTCCCTACAAGAACTGCAAGACGGACTTTGAGGTCCTCACCAAAGTTCTCCAGGAGGAGCCCCCGCTGCTGCCCGGTCACATGGGCTTCTCGGGGGACTTCCAGTCCTTCGTCAAAGACTGGTGAGGGCCCACCCGCCCCTTCCTCTGCTGCGGGGCCCGCAGGTGGCGGATTAGAGGGGCCGCCCCAGGGTGGGGGCAGCTCAGGGCTGGGGCTGCACCCTGGGGGCCAGGAGCAGGGTTTGGGCGCAACCCTGGCACAGCTGGCCCCGTGGGCGTTGGGCAAGGTGGGTGGTGGGCTTCGTGGAGGGAGGAGGTGGTGAACAGCAGTACTGCCCCTGAGCTGGGGGCCTGAGCCCCCTGCTGGGACACACAGTCACCTGGGGTAACCGCACAGCCCAGGTCCAGCTCCCCAGCCAGGCCTGCACCGTGCCGACCAGGCCAGGAGGCGGCAGGGACACGAGCGGGCAGGTCCTGGTGTCAGCAGGGGGCTGGTGAAGACAGCAGCATCTCCCCCAGGGTGGGGGCTCGGAGGGGGCCAGGTGCCTCCTGGGCTCTCACCGCTGTCCCCTCTCTTGCTCCAGCCTTACTAAAGATCACAGGAAGAGACCAAAGTACAATAAGCTACTTGTGAGTACCTGGGCCCCTCAGCCCCTGCCCCAGCACTCCGGAGGCCCCAGGTCTGAGCCGGGCGGACGGGGAGGCCCCGAGCCTGAGCCCCACCACTCGGCCCCCACAGGAACACAGCTTCATCAAGCGCTACGAGACGCTGGAAGTGGACGTGGCGTCCTGGTTCAAGGACGTCATGGCGAAGACCGAGTCGCCGCGGACTAGCGGGGTCCTGAGCCAGCACCACCTGCCCTTCTTCAGGTAGCTGCTGGCAGCGGCCAGCCCCACGGGGGCCAGGGGCATGGCCACAGCCCCCCACTTGGCCACCCAGCTGCCTGCCAGGGGAGACCTGGGACCTGGACGGCTGCCGAGGGCTGAGGACAGAAAGTGGGGGCCCTCGCCCACCCCGGCTCCCTGCCCGCCAGCCATGGACGCCAGACCCCAGCCCCTCCCGCCCGGGGTCGGCCGGCCGGCGCGGCCCCGACAGACACTGTGAACGGAAGACAGCAGGCCGCGAGCAGACTCGCTATTTATTCAGTCGTAACCTCTGGGCCGGGAGAGAGCCCCCCAGCCTGCTGCGCCCTCCCCACCACCCACAGCTCCTCCATCTCCCCCGTCGCCCCTCCACCGCTGTCCCTGTCGGGCTGTCCCCGTCGTCCTCCCTGCCGCCGTCCTGCTCCCTTCCCAAGCCTGGGCTCAGCCACCCCCCACCCGGTGGGACCCCTGAGTCCACGTAGGTCTCGCGGAGCCATGAGCCGGTCAGCGGCACCTGGCCGCCCAGCCCCTGAAGACGAAGGCGGTGCGGGCGGCATGGCTGCAGTGGAGTGGGGCTGGTCTCTCTGTCTCTCTCTCTTTGATCTCAGGGGGTCCTTTTTGGAGTATATTGTATTTTATTGTACTTGGTGTGTTTGGGGGTGGGGGGGAGAGGAGAGCTTGTTCTCTTGGGGTTCGTCGGTACCTTCAGAAACTTTTACCAAAGTCACGTGTAGCTGCTTGCGGTGAGGCCCTGACCTCGGGGAGGCAGCCCGGGCCGCAGAGGCTCAAACCTGGGCGCCTGGGGGGGCTCCTCTCCCTTTGGGGGCAGCTCTCGGGCTGGAGCCTGGCCACAGCTTGGGGGTGAGTCGAAGACCTCAGGGGGCACAAAGGGAACCGGAGGGGCCTCGGCCACACAGGATGGCCTTCAGGGAAGGTGGGCGTGGGGCGTGAGCGCAGCAGGCGGCAGGGAGGGGGCTGGAGGGGATGGGGCACGGGAGTAAGGGAGGTGGTCTGGACGGAGTCTGGACGGAGGGTACAGGGAGTGGATGTGGGGGTTCGAGGACGTGTGACAGGCGTGAGTGAGGGGAGGCCAGGCCGAGGCATGAGCGTGTGCGAGTGGTTCCCCCCCAGAGTGCCCCCTGAGCGCCCTTCGACTCCCCCGGAGCCAGCCCCAGGGCCCAGGCTGGGTGGGCCTGGAGCCCCAGTAGCAGCAGAGCAGGAGAGGGTATGTTTCCTTTCTGTGGGTGATGCATGCAAATCAAATGGACAAGAAAACAAAATAACAAAATTTTTAAAAAAGAAAAAAAAAAAAAACCTCCCATAACCCACAAAAAGCAACCCACACCAAAGGCGAGGCACTTGCTGGCTGTAGCTGAGGTCACTGGCTTAGGCGACACCGTCCTCTACCCCACTCATATCCACAGCGCCGCATGTTTAAGTGCGAGAAGTCATCTTCTCTCTGCCCCCCCCCCCCCCGAAGGCCGCCTTGCTTGGCCCTGTCCCCTGTGTGAGGGGGTGGGGCAGGGTGGGGGCCAACAGGCCTGGCCCCCGCCCGCCCTCGCTGCTCCGACCTTGGGGCCTTTCCAGGCAGCTGGGAGGCCACTTGGCTGGTCCCGGGGCCAGCACAAGCCTGAGGCTGGGCTGCCTGGTTTTATTTTTATTTAACTTTTATTTTTCGTTTTGTGAGTGTGTCCACCCTCCCCGTCCCCTTCAGTGTTAAGCGGGAGCCCTGGGGGGAGTCTCCTACCTCCCCACCTGTCCCGAGACCTCCCTGTCGTCACCAGCCATCCCTCTCTGCCAGGCAGAGGGCAGACTGGGCGGGCAGGGGCCTGGGGTGGCCTGGCCCAGCCCACCGATCCGCGGGCCCCTTCTCTGGCCACCAGTATTGCCCGGTCCCTTTTTAAACAAATGCCCTCGTTTGTAAATCCTTAGATGCTTGAGAATAAAACCCCCTTCCTTTTCTTCCATGGAGTCTGGTGTGTCCTGAGCCTGGCAGGGGGCGTCCGGGAGGGTCCAGGAAGGGGTGCCCTCATGGTGGGTGAAGCCTCTTGCAGTTTCAAGGGGAAAGTGGGGGGAGAATGGGGGTCTCACGGTGGTGCCTGCTGTGAGTGTGGGACCCCCCCCAGAGGCACAGGTCAGGCAGGAGGCTTAATCCCCAGCAGGCCTTGGGCTGGGGCTCGGGTGTCAGTGCCTCCATCTGCCACCCCCGCTCTGTGGCCGCCCCACCAAGGACAGGGCTGGTCCCCAGCACTGCACCCTCAGCCACTCCAGCATGCTGGGCACCATGTTCCTGCTGCTGGCCCTGGCTGCAGAGACCTCTGCCTCGCCCAGCGGGCCGCCTGGTACGTAGGGGCGGGGGGATGCTGGGCCTGTCACCTCCCCTCCCGGCCTTCCTCATCTGCACCTTGTCTACTCCAGGATAAGATGGGAGGATCTGCCTGGCCCTGTCCCCACTTTGGCTGGGACCCCCCACACTTCAGAGTCTCCAGCAGGGGAGGGGGCCAGGGCTGTAGGGGTGAGGCGGTCTGCAAAGGCTTTAGGACAACGGCGGGGGTAGGGGGCGGCTGAGATGGCCCCTTAGGCAAGGCTTGGTCCATCTGCCAGGGGTAGCGGTGGGGGGTCACAGAAGGGACAGGACGCCCCCCACCGCCCTTTGCTGTTGCTGCCCTCAGTCCAGGAATGTGGAGCCTGGGCAAGCGGAAAAGCCCAGGTCCTGGTCGCTGGACGGGCTGTGTGCCCAGGGGTCCCTTGGGGGGGCCTCACTTTCCTCCCCCTTCCCCCTTAGGAAGAGCCTGGGGAAGGGGAAGCCGGGCCCTCTGACTTGGCCCAGACCGCCCCTCCACCCGCAGGCTCTTCCGCTCCGGGGACTCCCTCGCCCGTTTCGCAGATGGCCCAATGGAGGCCGCGGGAGGGTGGCGGTCCCCAGGGGCGCTCAGCTCAGGTGGCCATCCCCGGGGTTGCCAGCCGGCGTGAAGGTGGCGCAGAGCCAGCCCTGGGTGAACCCCAAGGCGACCGCGTCCGTTTTCCAAAGGAGGCGGCGGGGGCGAGCAGGTTGGGCCGCCTTCCCGGAGGGCATAAGGGGCAGCGCGTCCTCCGTCCCCTGCGGTCCCCGCCAGCGCCCCGGCTCCCCGCGGCGCCCGGCCCCTGGCTGG